ATGGCACCCAGAATTATGTTGCACGAAGCACAATTTCACTTCATTCTGGGTCCAATTGTGTGAAAACAAGGTCCAATCAGGCTGAAATGTTACAGGAAGGTAGAATCTATTGAGTTGTAAGTGATCTGAACATTTCATGATGATAGCACTTTCCTAAGGGGGTCAAACCATGTCCCAAAGGTCACCGGATCTGGTGTCAATTTAAAGAAGTAGTCCAGTTACACATTTGTGGGCTTATAACTTGGCTTCTGAATGTCCTAGAGAGATCAGGTTTGTTTTAGTGTACTCCAATCAACAGCCCCTACAACCACAAAAAGGAATGGAGTCATTAGCACTCATGGTTTTTAAATGCAACCCAGAATTATGTTGCACGAAGCACAATTTCACATCATTGTGGGTTCATTTGTGTGAAAACAAGGTCCAATCAGGCTGAATCGTTACAGGAAGGTAGAATCTATTGAGTTGTAAGTGATCTGAACGTTTCATGATGATAGCACTTTCCTAAGGGGGTCAAACCATGTCCCAAAGGTCACAGGATCTGGTGTCAATTTAAAGAAGTAGTCCAGTTACACATTTGTGGGCTTATAACTTGGCTTCTGAATGTCCTAGAGAGATCAGGTTTGTTTTAGTGTACTCCAATCAACAGCCCCTACAACCACAAAAAGGAATGGAGTCATTAGGACTTAAGGTTTGTAAATGGCACCCAGAATTATGCTGCACGAAGCACAATTTCACATCATTCTGGGTCCATTTTTGTGAAAACAAGGTCCAATCAGGCAGAAACGCTACAAGAAGGTAGAATCTATTGAGTTGTAAGTGATCTGAACGTTTCAAGATGATCGCACATTCCTATAGGGGGTAAAACCATGTCCCAAAGGTCACCGGGCTTGGTGTCACTTTAAAGAAGTAGTCCAGTTACACCTTTGTGGGCTTATAACTTGGCTTCTGAATGTCCTAGAGAGGTCAGGTTTGTTTTAGTGTACTCCAATCAACAGCCGCTACAACCACAAAAAGGAATGGAGTCATTAGCACTTATGGTTTGTAAATGGCACCCAGAATTATGTTGCACGAAGCACAATTTCACATCATTCTGGGTTCATTTGTGTGAAAACAAGGTCCAATCAGGCTGAAACGTTACAGGAAGGTAGAATCTTTTGAGTTGCAAGTGATCTGATTGTTTCATGATGATAGCACTTTCCTAAGGGGGTCAAACCATGTCCCAAAGGTCACCGGATCTGGTGTCAATTTAAAGAATTAGTCCAGTTACACATTTGTGGGCTTATAACTTGGCTTCTGAATGTCCTAGAGAGATCAGGTTTGTTTTAGTGTACTCCAATCAACATCCCCTACAACCTCAAAAAGGAATGGAGTCATTAGCACTTAACGTTTTTAAATGGCACCCAGAATTATGCTGCACTAAGCACAATTTCACATCATTCTGGGTTCATTTGTGTGAAAACAAGGTCCAATCAGGCTGAAACGTTACAGGAAGGTAGAATCTATTGAGTTGTAAGTGATCTGAACGTTTCATGATGATAGCACTTTCCTAAGGGGGTCAATCCATGTCCCAAATGTCACCGGGCCTGGTGTCACTTTAAAGAAGTAGTCCAGTTACACCTTAGTGGGCTTATAACTTGGCTTCTGAATGTCCTAGAGAGGTTAGGTTTGTTTTAGTGTACTCCAATCAAAAGCCTATGCTGATGTTCCTGCAAGGTTTTGCTAACCTTAAGATAACGTTCCAGATACATTATGCCGATGTTCCAGCAATGTTTTGCTAACCTTAAGATAACATTCCAGATACATTATGCCGATGTTCCAGCAATGTTTTGCTAACCTTAAGATAACGTTCCAGATACATTATGCCGATGTTCCAGCAATGTTTTGCTAACCTTAAGATAATGTCCCAGATACATTATGGCGATGTTCCAGCAATGTTTTGCTAACCTTAAGATAACGTTCCAGATACATTATGCTGATGTTCCAGCAATGTTTTGCTAACCTTAAGATAATGTTCCAAAAACATTATGCCGATGTTCCAGCAATGTTTTGCTAACCTTAAGATAACGTTCCAGAAACATTATGCTGATTTTCCAGCAATGTTTTGCTAACCTTAAGATAACGTTCCAGATACATTATGCCGATGTTCCAGCAATGTTTTGCTAACCTTAAGATAACGTTCCAGATACATTATGCCGATGTTCCAGCAATGTTTTGCTAACCTTAAGATAACGTTCCAGAAACATTATGCTGATGTTCCAGCAATGTTTTGCTAACCTTAAGATAACCTTCCAGAAACATTTTTCTAGCCTATAGATAACGTTCCGGTAATGTCAGGCTAACATTTTAGCAATGTTTTGCTAATGTTGCAACAATGTTTTTCCAAACATTAACAAAATGTTCCAGTAACATTGTAGCAGTATTGCAGCCATGTTATGAAAATATTCCGGGAACGTTATGTTAATAATCAAATAACGTTTCAGTAACCTTATGCTAACGTTCCAGTAATGTTATGCTAATGTTCTGTTAACGTCATGCTAACCGTAAAATAACGTTCAAACAATTATAAGCAAACATTCCAGCAATGTTTTTGTATCGTTAACACACCATTCCAGTAACGTTAAAAAAACTGGACATTTCTACGTTTTTACAACATTCAAAGTAAACATTCCCATAACGTTCTGTTAACGTCATGCTAACCGTAAAATAACATTCAAACAACTTTACGCAAACATTCCAGCAATGTTTTTGTAACGTTAACACACCATTCCAGCAACATTAAAAAAACTGGACATTTCTACGTTTTTACAACATTCAAAGTAAACATTCCCATAACGTTCTGTTAACGTCATGCTAACCGTTGAAAATATATGTGTCTTTCATATAAGCTCTTTTATATATTATTATAAGCTCTTTTATATGAAAATATATGTATCTCTCACATATGCTCCTTATATATTATCATAAATACATTATATGCCTTTTCATGGAATCTTGTTATAATATCAAAAACCTCTCAGTGCCTTTTCTGCACAAAGCTCTAACCAGCTGCATACCTAGAAGAGAGTAACACATCCCATCTCCTGTCCGCCTTATCTCACAGCACCAACTGTTCCGAGGATGTTGCAGGATGTGTTCCTGGCCATCTCAAGGTTGCATGTTCTTGGGATGAAATGGTCTTTCATTAACAAGGCTATTAGCTGACGTGCGTCTGCAAGTACAGATGGCAGAACTACGTATGTAACATTCCATAATCTGTCAATAAATATAGCTGCTGATCAGAGAACGCCAGAAACACTTGATGCAGCAGACAAGAGCTAAACGCGGGTTTAGCTGGGAAAGCTGTGTGTTTCTCCCTCTGCAGCGGTGAACCAGACTGATTCTTCTGATTATTTGTCTGCACTCTCTACCAACGAAAGGTGTTTTTTCCTCTCCATTTACTCCGTACCTGTGATGGTCTTACAGAAGAAAAGACCAACAAATTTTGGCGTCACGAACAGGATTTCTTCCTTTTAAAGAAGAAGGAGTTTTTTGGAGGACGATTTGACCAACCGACACAGTGAACGATCTTGGAACAAAACACCGCGGTGAAAATCAAGGTAAGCAGAACCTATTCTAAAAATCTGCTCATTGGATATATCCAAAGCCTTTGTGTCTTGAATCTTAGTAACTGTGGTCCTAAAAATAATCATTGGAGAAGAAAGTGGAGACAAATGCAGGAATAATGAGAGATTTTTTGTAAAGGTTTAATGGTAAATAAGATAAGGATTTTTACAATGGTGTAATGCAATGGTTTAATGGTAAAATAAGATAAGGATTTTTACAATGGTGTAATGATAAAAAAGATAAGGTAAAGAAATCTTCCAGATCGTGGCTGATCACACTAATTACTGACGAGTGAATAGAAAATATAACGAGGTTATATTAAAGCTAGGTTAAGGCCTTAGGGGGTGGGAACCATAAAATTCTACAGGTCCGGGACCTGTTCAAGGTTATTTTAAAGTCGGGTTAAAGTCCCTAGGAGGTAAAAAGTTAACTCCTAAAATTCTATAGGTCTGGGACCTTCTTATGAAATAAGAAAACTGTTTTGTGAACCAAGGAAACTGTTTTTGACACAAAACACACGCCATAGTTAGAAAACACGCTGTATGAATGTCAAGTCTCAGTCAGCTTCTGTCGGTAAAACAGATGAGGCTGACTGATTAACTTGAATTACACAATAAAAGAGACAAAATAAACTCCACATGAGAGTAATAAGTCTCTTTAGGCTGAGCAACCATATTATCTGCACTTACGAAAAGTGCAGAGAGTAAGGATAAGTGTAAAAACACATAGAATCTTTATATCATACAAATAGGGAAATAGCTGAATGAGCGGTGAACACCACCCCCACCGCAGATAAGAAGGGTAATGAATGAATGAATTGAACTAACAATTGTATGTGTAAGTGAGAGAAATACAGCGCCCCTTTGTAGATGCAGAGGTAAGAACTTTCCACCTGAAAAGGTAGAAGCGAAAGTTACCACAACAAGTCATTAGCGCTGTCTCACTTTTTAACACCGGTGACTAGAGCTCCCTATGCGCTAAGACCTCACCGGTCCAAATTGTCACCAAAATCAGCAGCATACTAACAGAATGATGGATAAAGAATATGATCGTGAAACGGAGGATGATGGATGGGGGCCGAATGACATCCTGAGTACACTGGGAGAGCAATTAGCCTGCATAGAGACTGTGATAAATATGACAAATGGTTCAATAGAAGCTACGAAACACAAAATTTTATTGAGAAAAACAGCAGAAAAAGCGATGAAAGAAAAAGGAGAGGTGTGAACAGCAGAGGAAACTGGGGTAAAATATGGGAGCAGAAAGCTGCAGAAGCGAGAGAAAAGGAAGAAGAAGCTAAGAAAGCTTTAAGAGAGGCAGGAGTATTAACAAGGAAGAAAATAAAAAGTGAGGTTCAAAAGCAGACTGGTCGTGTAAATAAATACAGGCAGTGGGTCATGTTATGGAATGCAGCCAGACCTAATATGAAGAAAGTGAAAAAAGAGACTAAATCACCCACCCAACCACCCCCATACTCCTCCGCTATACAGCCTACACCTTCTACTGCTCAAGCAGCAGGACTGTACCCATTAATAAAAGTCACGAGCGGCATACTAGACATCCAACCTGAAACCCCCGTGGATAATCAGAGTGAGTGGTCAGGTGTAACTACGGCATCAGGATCAGACACTAAAGTCAAACCCTCCACCTCAAAAACACATAATCCCTTCCTGCCAAATAATGAAACACCAAACAGTAGCCCATCTGCAGACAACCTAGCTGCACCGTTCAAATTAAGGGCTAAACGACAGGACTTAACTCACAAAATCAATTTACCACTCACTATTTTAATCAGGGCCTGGTCACACCTGAAAACGGTACAGGTACGAACGTCCATACACCGTCTCCAGCACATTGGCCAAACAGTCCACCTGTATGGCCTAAAACGCCAGACCTAAACAAGCCAATACCAATTTTTTCTACCTCCCAGTTGCAGGGAGAAGATCAGGAAGACCCAAACAAGAATATAGTGGTAAAAATGGTTCTGGTAGGGCAGGAATCATCTGATCCCCCTCCAACAGCCAGTCGGAGCTATGAAGCCCTTCTACAAGAGGAGTGGCAGAAGCAGCTCACAAGAGAAGAGTCTAGGGGAGAAAGGGACCTGCTTCAATTTTCCCGCTCTCCATCCCCATGCCCAGACAGGAGACACACAAGGTCCATGGGCCCCCCACCGACCTACCAACTACCCATGGTGCAGAATAAACCCAACGCCCAGAAAGTCTATCAGCCGTATTCCCTTGGGGACATCCAGGCTTTAATAGATAAATTACCAGATATTCAAGAGGGTGGAAACAATTGGCTCTCAGACTTCGACACCCTCACTGCTAGACAGGACCTTGCATTGGGAGATTTTCGAGCAGTAATCACTAGGTGCACGTCACGCTCGCAGGCGGAGGCCCTAGAGAAGGACGCAGGCACAACTCATGATTCTAATTCTGTACCTCTCGGTAGAGTGATAGCTCGATTAGGCCCGGCAGTCAGAAAGATGTTCCCGCTAAAAGATAGCAGTACAATGAGCAAAATTAAATGGGATACTAAACAAAATCCTCCTATTTACTTGAACCAAGCCATTGACAACTGGGTGGCCCAAACTGGCCAACACCCATCCAAACGGGGCACGAATAGTATGTGGTTCAAAAAGGCAGTCCTGAAGGGAGTCCCCGACTCAGTGACTCAGAAAATGGAAGACAAACCTGATTTGCAGGATTGTGATTTTAGTATGTGGAAAAAACACCTTATTTTTAACCTCAACAAAGTACAGGTAAAGGAAGAAAAAGACTCCGATAACTTAGAAGATTTGCAAAAACAATTGCTCAGGGTCCAATTACAAGCCGCGAAAAAGACTTTGGGCGAAAAGGGGGACAAGGTAAGAAACAAATGGTCACGTCCACAGCCACACCCCCACCACTACCGTCACTTCCTGATCAGGTTTCACCTATAGCTTGGCAGCCGCAGCCACCATACTCAGGGCAGCCGCAGCCACCATTCTCAGGGCCATATGTGCCACCACAACAAAACACACCCTTCCCATATGCTGCCCAGCGACCACCTTTTGCTAGTCGACCCAGAGGTGGTTTCAGGGGGTGGGGACAGTGGAGGCCAGTAGGCGGCAAAGGGGGACCACATGCTCAAGACATTTGCTACAACTGTGGTCAACCAGGACATTGGTCCCGGAACTGCCCCTTGCCATACAGCCCACAAAGGGAAGGTCGAGGCAGAGGCACCTTCTCAAGACGAGGAGGGCCTACCGGACCCCACAACCAGATGCCAATGATGGACTGGGACCTGTGGGAGGGTGGTCCAAGACAATAGGACACCCCACAGAGAAACCCCGATGGCCAGGGAGCCACGGCAGACCCCCTGCTGTCAATAACTGTAGATGGACAAGATCAACCATTCTTGGTTGACACTGGTGCCACTTGCTCCACCATACAAACTGTGCCACCCTCTAAGACATCTACATGCACTATTTCGGTGATGGGCTTCTCTGGGGAACAACAAACTCTGCCTTTCTCCCTGCCACTTCCGACTACAGTGGGACACCAAACAGTACTGCACAGCTTCGTCTGTTCACCGACAGTTCCAGTCAACTTACTGGGAAGAGATCTCCTCATCAAGTTAGGAGCCACCATTTTGTGTGGTCCTACGGGACTTACTGTCACTCTGCCTGAAGGGACTATTTTGCCCTGCACCGGAGAAGCCAGTGAAGGCATGTACTTGGCTCAAAAACTGCCTGACATATCAGACTGTGCTGAGATTTACTGGGCTCTGTTGGACACAGAAACCAAGGACACTCCTGGTTTAATGACTCTGTACCAGCAGTGGAAACCCTGGCTGACTCAGGTCCATCCATATGTTCCCCCTCCTGACCCTCCTCACCTAACATTATTCTATGACAGACATGACTCAGTCTGGTACAAGGAAGCCTTCCAAAACCAATTAGAGGGACAGCAATGGTGTGTACAAACAACAGATATCTATGCTGCACCAGAAGGTGTGGTCGCGGCAGTCAACCTAACCCAGGAACAATTGGCATGGTATATGATGGGAGACGAAGCAGTACCTCATGTCTCTCTCGCTTTACATCCGGCCCATCAGGCAAAAGAACTAGGGGGAATGGTTAAACGTTCCCTAGCAACCACTGATTGGCGTTTGACTCCTCTTCCACAAGTGTCATACTCAGACTCAACTCAGACGTTTAAAATCGCTGCGGTTTGTACTAACACGACACATTCACAACAGGAAACTATTAGCAGATCTCATGGCCGTGAACGAACTGACCACCCTGATGCTCTGACAATGTTAGACTCGCTTCCCACCTCCCTGTGGTCGACAGGTCCCACCGATGTTGGGTTGGTGTCCATCCCACCGGTGACTTTTCACCTAAAAGATCATGCTCCCCTATGGGTTCCACAATACCCACACAAGCCCTATGCTGAAGACGGGATAGCCGGCACCATCGGTGGTTTGTTGCAAGCAGGGGTGTTGGAGCCATCCGTGTCTGAGTGGAACACTCCGATTTTACCTGTAGAAAAGAAAAATACTGGTAAATATCGAATGGTTCATGACCTGCGTCGTATAAACGCCCTACTTAACACAGACTCACTTCCCGTCCCTAACCCATATGTGGCTCTGACAAACCTACCACCTTCACATGCATGGTTCACCTGCATAGACTTGGCAAACGCATTCTTTTGTCTTCCACTTCATGAATCTCTGAGGGACATTTTCTCTTTCACGTTCAGAGGACAGCAGTACCGATATACTCGGTTGCCCCAAGGGTTCACCCTGTCCCCTGGGCTGTTCAACCAATGTTTGCGCCAGCTCCTGGACACATGCCCCCTACCTGATGACTGTGTTTTAGTGCAGTATGTTGATGATCTGCTCCTATCAGCGTCCTCTGCAGGCTCCTGTCTGCAAGCTACCCAAACACTACTAACCCATTTGGCCAAGCTTGGGTTTAAGGTTAGCCGGTTAAAACTCCAAATAGCCAGAAAACAAGTATCGTTCCTGGGCAGAATGATCTCACAAGTTGGCGTTTCTTTGTCACCAGATCATAGAAACTCCATACTCCACCATTCTAAACCTGAAACAGTCAAAGACATGTTATACTTTCTAGGCCTGACAGGCTACAGTAGACACTTCATCCCCAACTATGTCAGTCTCACTGCCCCACTACGTGCTCTTATAGAACCCTTTGGGATGCGTCAACTCACTGCTCAGCTAGAATGGACTATTCCAGCAGAAGAAGCATTCATAAAACTTAAACAACAACTATCCACAGCCAGTGATTTGGCTACGGCCGACTACAAATCTACGTTTTTCCTGGATGTTTCTGGATCAGAAACTCATGTTAATGGAGTTCTGTTCCAGAAAAAAGGGGGAGGTCAGAGACAAGTCTTGATGTACATAAGTGTCATGCTAGAGAACACGGAAAAAAGACACCCACCCTGCACCCAACATGTAGCAGGTCTTGCAAAAATTTTACAGAAAACAGCTCACATAGTAATGGGCAACCCGCTGAAAGTACTGACAACACGCATTTTAGTAGCTTATATCACATCACAAGCTTTCACCATGACCCCGCTGAGACAAAGAAAAATCAGTAAGATCTTAGAGGCCCCACACATCACCTACACACATGAAGGGATAAACATGGCAGACCACGTGGGTACTGGGGAACCTCATTCGTGTGAACAAAGAACAGCAATAGAAGAAAAGGTCAGACCAGATTTGAGTGCAACCCCACTAGAAAACCCTGATAAGAACTGGTTTACAGACGGCTGTTGCTATAGGGATGACAATAACGGGTTAAAAGCAGCTTGGGCAGTAGTAGAGCAACTCCCTACAGGCGAATGGTCCACTGCAGGAGCTGAAAAACTAAAAGGACAACAGTCAGCACAAAGAGCAGAAGTATTGGCTATCATTGCAGCTCTCAAAATGAGCACAGGAAAAAAGGTCAATATTTACAGTGACTCAGCCTATGCCGTAGGAGCCGTGCACGTGGAACTTAAGCGATGGTTAAGAGCTGGCTTTGTGACAGCTGGGGTGAAACCAATAAAACATGAGTCTGAAATGAGGGAACTAGCAGAAGCTCTATTCCTTCCAGCAGAAGTGGCAGTAATAAAATGCAAAGGACATAGTCAGGGCTCTGACTTTGTGTCTACAGAAAACCAAGAAGCAGACAGAGCAGCCAAGTTAACAGCTGAATATCTCCCTATACATAATCTAGTGGTTGAGACAGTAACTGTTGAGAAAAGCATTGACCCTAAAATTTCCATCACAAAAGAAACTCTCAAGGACATGCAAGATCAAGCCTCGCCACAAGAAAAAACTTTGTGGTTGGCTAGGGGCGCAACCAACACGGACGTTTGGAGAGGGCCAGATGGTAGACCCATACTGCCTCCAGGCATTAGACAAACGGCAATGGAAGAAGCGCACGGAGTAGGACATGTTGGTGTAGCACAGATGGTGAGAAATTTGTCCCCCTGGTGGCACCCATACCTAACAGACATGGCCAAACACTTTGTCATAACCTGTACAGAGTGTACTCAATTTGGCATCAAACCAACCCTGACACCAATTCACGGTCAATTTCCAATACCAACATGCCCTGGAAAAGAGATAATCATAGATTACACAGACATGATTGACAGGGTAAAAGGCTATAGGTATCTCCTAGTGTGTGTGGATGCCTACACTGGATGGCCAGAGGCTTGGCCTGCGAAAAAAGAAGACAGTAAAACAGTTGCTAAATGTTTGATTAATCGTTACATTCCCCAATATGGGTTCCCAGAAAAAATCAGATCCGACAATGGGTCACATTTCAAGAACAAAGATCTACAAGAGGTTGAAACCATGCTGGGTCTGAAACACAAGTTTGGGTCAGTGTATCATCCCCAATCCCAGGGGAAGGTGGAAAGGATGAATCAAACGCTGAAAGTCAAATTGGCTAAAATCTGTGCACAGACCAAATTAACTTGGTTAGAAGCTTTGCCTCTCGCTCTGATGCCCGTACAGAGCTCGGTTAACAAAACCACAAAGTTTACTCCCTTTGAACTACAGACTGGACGGCCTTTCCCGGGACCTGCCACAAAGTTACCTCTGACTACCGACCTGACTGACTCCCTTGATCCAAGGTCATATTATAATCTGTTGTATAGTCTTGTCTCGCAGTTCTCGTTACAGATCGAGGCCGACCATACCACCACAGACGCCCCATCTCCACAACCTGGGACTGACTGGGTCCTACTAAAGGTCACCAAAAGAAAGTGGACAGAACCAAGGTGGACCGGACCCTACAGGATCACGGAGAGGATGTCACACGCTGTCCGGCTGGATGGCAAAGGAGACACTTGGTACCATTGGACCCAGTGTGCTGCAGCGGAAGAGCCCCACCGCACTCTGACCGAGGTCCACGAGAACCTGTCAAAAAAGGAGGATCCTGACCAGGATAAAGGACCTACGGACCAGGAAGAGAAGCAGCCGACATCTGCCTGACCAGGAAAAAGGACCTAAGGACCAGGAAGAGAAGTAGCTGACTGCAGTAGCGTGCCAAGCTACATATTCTGCAGGACGAGGTAGCATGCCAAGCTACGACCACATCCAGCGGGACGAGAATCGTGACATCATCACCCCCTGCAGCTGCCTGGAGCCAGTGGAGGGACCTCAACAGGGGGAAGAAGAAACACCCATCAGTTATTTTACAAGGGTTATATTTAACACACTTCAGTTATTCTACAAGGGTTATACTTAACACCCTCCATTTATTTTATGTTACAGTGTGATGATGTTCAGTGATTTTGTCACAACCCCTTATCACCTGTTTATTTTCATGTGCTTTTGTTATTTTGTGTGTTCTTTCTTTTGACCATTGATGAGGATATTTGTCCTCAAGCTAGGCATGCCCGCTCTGTGCCGCGGCGTTCGTCCCAAAAAAAAAAAAAAAAAAAAAAAAAAGGGAGGACATGGGTGAATTTTCCCTGTCAAAGTACACTGGACAGGGTTTTTCGCCCTCATACGGAGTGTGCATGCAATACGTTCATTGACTGCACATTGATATGTGCAGTCAATGCTAAAGTCATGTTTCATGTATTGTTTCACAGTTTCTTATAGTCACAGCTGTGAATTCATCTGTTTTTCAGTTTCCTGATCATTGCATGTTAAGAGTTGATGTATTACTCTGGAACTCCATCTTGTGTTTTGAGATGGGTTCTGTTTAGTGATATTTGGTGTTGTTCTTTTCATGTCTTTTTTACCATTTATTGATCTGCTCTTTGTTGAACTCTTTTGAAGAGTTCAAAAGGGGGATTGAAAATATATGTGTCTTTCATATAAGCTCTTTCATATATTATTATAAGCTCTTTTATATGAAAATATATGTATCTCTCACATATGCTCCTTATATATTATCATAAATACATTATATGCCTTTTCATGGAATCTTGTTATAATATCAAAAACCTCTCAGTGCCTTTTCTGCACAAAGCTCTAACCAGCTGCATACCTGGAAGGGAGTAACACATCCCATCTCCTGTCCGCCTTATCTCACAGCACCAACTGTTCCGAGGATGTTGCAGGATGTGTTCCTGGCCATCTCAAGGTTGCATGTTCTTGGGATGAATTGGTCTTTCATTAACAAGGCTATTAGCTGACGTGCGTCTGCAAGTGCAGATGGCAGAACTACGTATGTAACATTCCATAATCTGTCAATAAATATAGCTGCTGATCAGAGAACGCCAGAAACACTTGATGCAGCAGACAAGAGCTAAACGCGGGTTTAGCTGGGAAAGCTGTGTGTTTCTCCCTCTGCAGCGGTGAACCAGACTGATTCTTCTGATTATTTGTCTTCACTCTCTACCAACGAAAGGTGTTTTTTCCTCTCCATTTACTCCGTACCTGTGATGGTCTTACAGAAGAAAAGACCAACAAGACTGAATGAGAGACTCCAGGACCGGTGTCTTTGTGAGGTTGTTGGCTTCTTTGATGACTTTCACCTTCAAAGAGGTTCCCCATTTTTCCATTAGTTTTAATGAGACTTCTTCTCCAAACATCATCTGGAAATCCTGTACCACATTAAAATCAAACAAAACCACACACACACATTTGGAAACTGCACAGTTCAGCAAACAAAGACATTTTAAAGTCTGCTAATCTTTTTGAACTAATTAAAACAGTCATGACCCACTATTCTGAAATAAGACGACAAAGCCTGCAGCTTAAGACGCTATATCCAAAGCGGACTTACCAGGCCTTTTGTGTCCAGGAATCTTGGGAACACACCAAGGATGGTCTCACACTTCTCCGAATCCTGAATTAGTTCTTGTCTGTGCTTAAATGTCTGTTCCATTTTCAAGAAGATCTGGCTTTCATCCGTGCTGTGCCTCAGCAGGGAAATGGCCTCTCTGCACAGATCGCCCTCCAACTGATGCTCTGCAGTCACGGGTCTTCCAAACTGTGGTCCTCTGTTGCTTGATGGATCTCTACTTGTGCTGCTCCTTCTCCTGCCACCATGGAGTTCACGCTGCATGTTTTTTAGTTTCCAAGCGATGTAGCCTTCATTACTTTTGGAATCAAAAAAGTGCTCCTACAGAAAAGAAAAGTCTTAACATTTGATCAATTCATCCTGAAATCAAGTTTTTTGTTTTTTGCTGATAACCTGTAAATAACTGTCTAATAATGGTGTAGACATGTGTAGTCACTCGAATTTAAAATATAAATATTCTGCGTAAAACTGTTAGGGTACCGCCCTCTTCAGATAAAGTTTGTACATTTGAATTTGAATAAGCAATTGCTATTAGCTAAAAGATACCCAGTGACATTACCGTTTCCATTTGTGGTCAGCAACAATGCCGCTGTGGAGTATAGAAGCAGCAGAGTCTCAAGCTCAGCCAATTATACATAGCAGGTTAGAATGGGAATAGCAAGTGAGTGTTTATGGCTCTGCACCAGTAGCCTGGGGCTACACAAGCCATCGGTACAAAGCGATATAGCTCAGGGCTGCTTGGCTCCTCCAAAATACCTTTTTCCCTCTTTGATAAAAGAGGTGGACAGATATCATCGAACTCCAATGGCTGTTCTGAAGCTAAAGCGCTAGAGTGGTTATCAGGAACTAGGACACATGCTCCATCAAGGTGTGTTTATATATGGGTGTGTCATGTGAATGTGTGTATGATAGTGGGGAATCTCAAAGTCTGTGGCGGTATGGGCATGCAATTTGTCTTGGTTGGCCAGGCAACGACTCCTCATAGTGCATTTTTTAACAGGAAATATGTGCAGGGTAAGACTCTGGTGGTGGTGGGGTGCCTTGCGCTTTAACTCGTCTAAAAGGGACACCACAATACCAGTTTTAAAATATTAACTGCAGGAACAAATATTTAATACTCACATATCCTTTTTCAGAGTATGGGTCTTTCAGACAGGGAAACAGGGTGACGATTCCTAATGCATAACGTGTCCTTACATCCATTGGTGGAGCAGTCCTAAACAGGAAAGATGACAGAATTAAACTTCTGAGGTTACACTTTTTTCATCGCTCGATATAAATTACAATTTGTGTGCATATTTCATCAGGGTCTCCGCCAGAAAACGGATCGCCCCTCGTCTGTGAGAGAGGGGGGTGGGTGCGTGCACAAATTGTTCTGCTGTAGATTCTCGTTAATACAACCCGCACTTGTATAGCGCCTCTCAGAGTAAGGACTCCAAAGCGCTTTACACTACAGTGTATCATGCATCCATTCACACACACATTCACACACTGGTGGTGATGAGCTACGATGTAGCCACAGCTGCCCTGGGGCGCACTGACACAGGCGAGGCTGCCGAGTACTGACTCCACCGGTCCCTTCGACCACCACCAGCAGGCAAGGCGGGTTAAGTGTCTTGCCCAAGGACACAACAGCAGAATTCTCTGTCCGGAGCAGGGATCGAACCTGCAACCTTCAGATTACTGGACAACCTGCTCAACCTGTTGAGCTGCTGCTAATATCAGCGGATGGAGGGCCAGTGGTTCGTTTCACTGCCCCCTAGGATGGGGGCGGGGGGCATGAGACTTAGCCTGGCGGGGGACCAAGTGGCCCCCCAGGCTTATAAAGCACTGGGGATAATCCTGTGCATCATTCTATTTTTGATTGCATATGAAAACTACTCACCCATACTGCTCAATCATCGCCGATACAACCATGTTGACCAACTTCTGCCGTAATGGGTCCTTAACCTCTCTTGTTTGTCTGTATTCTTTGAGTATTTTCTCACCTCCTGGCTTGGTTTGCAGAAGTTTTTCAACAAGCTTCAGAGTGAAATGACAAAAATAATTAAAGTACAGACAGTGCACTTGAGAATTATTCACCGTGCATCACTTTTGTTTTCCCACATTTTGTTTTCTTACAGGCTACAGCCTTGTTTTTTTCTTAAACTTTCTTGTTTTTTTTAACTAAACTTCTATACACAACCCTCCATAATAATGTGAAAAAAGATTTTTGGGATATTTTGCAACTGTATTAAACATGGTAATTAATTACAAAAGCATAAATATTCACTATTTTTGAGATAAAGTGCAAAATTAAGCTATGGCAATTTTCTTCAGCAGGAGGAACTGAGAGAAAACTCAGGATAGATGGAAAGATTAATGTAGAAATGCACAGACCTCCTAAATAAACACCTGAGTGCACCCTTGACTTCGGACTGAAGAGACGGTAATCTTTCAGCAGAACATCTTTATGCACACAGCCAAGATATCACAATGTCTGTGGAGACTGTGTGTTTGGTCTCAGTTTGGACACAGTGGTGTCATTTAATGAGACTTTGAGTGTGTTTGCATTGTGTGTTCCTTTTCAGTCAATTCATCTCCTTGTATTAGTTTCAGTTTCTGTGAATGTTTAAGCCCGACGTCAGGAGCAATTTTTGTTAAATTATGTTTCTTATACTGATTTTTACCTGTGCTACGTGTCCTCAATGTTACCCCAGATCTCCTAGATGCTTGGGTTGTAACATGGAGTAAGGTTGTAACAAGACAAAATATGGAAAAAGTGATGTGATTACTTTCCAGATGCACTGTATAGAGAGCCTAAGTCTCCTCCCTTTCCGGTCGGCTCATCAGTCCCCAGAAGAATGAAAACATTGAATGGAAGTCAACGGGGCTAATTGTCTAATCTGCTTTGCCTTACGCCCTGGATCGCACACATGTTGCAATTTAAATGAAAACTAATGATGGGTGTTTGGACCACACCAGTCACGTACTTTGAGATTTATCAGCTTGTAAATGTTTGTAATTAGAATGACTGCAAATTAAACATCAGCACGTTGCATATATGACGTCACCACAGAATCTCTTCTCCCGTAGCGTAGCTGCTACTTACCAAATGGCCAGATTTATGGCGTTTTCTCCGTCTGAAGGAAGGATTTGAAGTTTTCCCTCTGTTTTTCTCCGTGTCTGGTTCGATGACGTCACTTTTGTGAAATGCATTTGTAGTCTTGGGCTTATTTTCACACAACATCTAAAATAACGTTTCCTCCCGTTAGAAAATAAGCGCTTTCTTGGTATCAAAATGCATCTTTAAAATTCACGGACATCATATGTAAAATCCATGGCACATAACAAGCGGAATTAGGAAATAGCGGTTTTAGCCCCGTTGACTTGCATTCATTTTTTTGTTCTTCTGGGGACCCGTGGTCCAGAAGTAGATGGGTGTGACTTAGCCTCCCTATTAATAACATCCTCCATTTAGAAACAAATTCACACAAAATTAAATCAAATAAATGTAATTTATTTAAATGAATTGAAAATATCACCTCTTTGGCTTTTAAAGAAGTGTCGTCATTTTGATCTCTTCTTGGGGACATCATCGTGGTTTCATCAATGCGACGTCTTTTAGGGGACAGAACAGATAACTCGCTGTCTGATGAAAAAGATGACAAGGAGAGCGTGTCTGTGCATGAGGACTGCACCGAAGATTCTAAGGAAAAACAGAAATACAGATCAGTACTGGACAACCATTAAATCATTTTAGCCTAAATTAAGAAACTAATTATGTCTGTGGCTTCAGAATTTCACTGAAACATTAAAGAAGGGGGAATTTTTTTTAAAACATGAAGTGTAAGTAATAACCTTTAACTTTTAGTTAGATGTATAAAATAAAATGCAGCTAATTTAACAGTGCTACTGTTACCTTCTACAGAAGAGGCATCAATGAGGGTCCAGACAATGTCTGATTTCTCCTCCAGAACATCAGTAAAGACATCCTCATCTACTTCTGTCCCAGTTTCATCCACAAGATACATCCTTTTATCATCTTGGATGCCAAACTTCTCCTTGGCTGTAAATGCATATAAAATTATTTTAGAAGCTTAAATTATTCAAGTATACAATTTGTAGTTTCATTATATTTACCTAATATTTAACACATTGCCTACTCAAAGATTAAAAATTTAACTTGTAAAAAAAAACATAAAAATGCATAATTTTAAGCAGGTGAACCCAAATGAAAACAAAAATGTAATACCTTGACTGAGGAATGTAGAATATGAGGCTCCATTGAGCTTGATATATGTTTTTTTCCTATATACTGCACTTTGAAAAGCATCGTCTGGGAAAAAAGAAGAAGAATCACAGCAGCCAGCATATAGCAATAACCTTAATATGCATTCCTTTGCACAGTGGAAACCTTTTCATCTTTAGTCCAGATTTATTTTGTTTCCCCAACTGAAATCGATTGCTCCTACTTAGCTTAGCTTTTCAAGGCTTCTTCCAAAGAAACACCCAGTTTTCAGTCTTTGAGCCGGATTTATACTTCTCCGTCTGCGCTGGTATTGACCCTTTGCATGTGGCCTCACGCCCAAGCCCCCACAATGCCTCTCTAAAAATGGTCCCATCCCGGAAGTAAGAAAAATTGCAGTTCCACCCTCATCCGCTGGGGGCTGGTATCAGAAGCGAGCAAATCCTCATTGACTCCCATGTTAAAAATGCCATTTTCACAGCAGAAATAAACATGTTTACAGCCTGGTTCCAAAAATTGTTTTTTGTCTAAATTATCTAGTTTATATTCATGACAACTCTGAGGGGGGTGAATTTTTTTCTCACTCTTCTGTTTAAGTGTATTGAAAGCCTAAAATTCTGTATAATTAATGAGCATCCGACACACGTGACCGCCGCCTCAGGCCCACGTGACCACATAGCTAGCTCCGTGGAAAGGCCTCAGTACAGCCTCGGTCTCTCCTGGAAACTGTGTGGGGATTTTGAGTCTCTGTGCTTGTGAATTCTGTTTTGGATATTATTGGTGCAATTGTTGGACAAAATGACTTGCTGTGGTATTAATAGCACTAATAGAACGTCCAAGAAGTCTCCACTTCATTTTTTTCGGTAAGTTAAAATCTATATTTGTATTTTATGTCACTGCCGCCTAGCTGAGTTTACCGAAGTAGCTAGCTATCAGTTTAACATGTAGCATGTACTGTTTAACCATGAAATTTAAATGTAAAATACGGTAAAATAATTAATAGGGCATATTTCGATGGGTAAAAGGGTCAAACCCAGTGCATTTAAGATAAAAATGGGTTGAAATATGACGGAGCGCGCCGCTTGGAGGGACACCTGTGCTCCATTCTTTCATCCGGTAATCCCCAGCGGTCAGGCCGGGCAGGCTGACCGATGCGGCGCCTCGCTGCTGCGGGCTGACCGCTCGTGGAGCTCTCGAACTCGGAGACAGATCTGACCGGAGAAATACTGCAGCTCGTTGAGAAGTCTATAGGGCATACAGTGTTTCCCTTAAATCCCACCGCCACGCCGACAAGATCCCAAGTTTCTTTGTTTTTGTTGGCGCTGTTTACCGAAGAAGCAGCGGGAACACCAGCAAGTTTCATCAGACTCGTAAAGTTTGTTTTTGCAGGGGACCCCGTGTATTTTACCGCTCCCTCCTGCAGTCTTCCCCTATTAAAATTTAAAATGTGTAACTTTATGTTTTGGGATGAATGACTAATATTCATGTTAACTAAAACGTTAGGTATTTAGGGGGAAAAAACAAAATAATAAACATTATACAGATGTCAAATAAATCAAACTGTAATTAAACTATATATTTTCAAAGTCTCGATTCTGGATAAAATCCAACAACATATGCTTTATAAATAAACACTACACATGGCTTTTACACACACACACACACACACACACACACACACACACACACACACACACACGCACGCACACACGCACACACACACATTACATTGTGAGTTAGTAAATATTCTATTTGGCGAGAGATAAACTTTATTGTATTTATCCTAGTGAATCTATAATTAAACGGGTAAACTAGTAGCACCACATCCAACATCAAAGAAAGTAAAATGTTATTATCAGGAGAGGGAGAATGTTTAAGTGGTTAGCAGCAGTGTGCTAGCCGATGGCCCCCTCCATGAGGCCACCACAGCTCAGCAGAACACCATTGTAGCTTCTTCTGGGGAGAAAAACACTTAGAGAAAAAATAAAGTTAACAGCTGAAATAGCATGAAATAATACAGTTAAAGAGCAGATTGTAGAAGAAAGACACCCCTGGGTTAAACTGGTCTGTCTACTGCATAATGCTGAACTCTAACATGTGTCCTCAGGGAAGGACCTGATTGGTGTCCAGAACCTGCTGAAGAAGCACCAGGCTCTGCAGGCTGAGATCACAGGTCATGAACCTCGCATCAAGGCTGTCACCCAGAAAGGAGAGACCATGGTGGAGGAAGGTAGAGCAGGTCTGGTCCTGACATGTTTCTGAGGTGTCTGCAGGTTCTGGCTCACTTTTTTTGGGTCCAGGTCACTTCGCTGGTGAGGAAGTGAAGACTAAACTGTGGGAGCTTCATGGACGTTGGGACACGCTGAAGGCCAAGGCGTCCCAGAGGAGGCAGGACCTGGAGGACTCTCTGCAGGCCCAGCAGTACTTTGCGGATGCTAATGAGGCCGAGTCCTGGATGAGGGAGAAGGAGCCCATCGTTGGAAGTCCAGACTAAGGGAAAGACGAGGACTTGGCCGAGGTATGGAAGTCCCTTCCTGAGAAACTCCAATCGCTTTTCTTTGCTCTCTTTCCAGTCCTTCATAATTAGTGTTTCTGTATTTGTCGTTTCCTTCGGTTGTCTACCAGACGTCGTTGCTCGTTTGAGCGTCTCATGGGTTAGGGGTAGAAGTGCTGGCCTCGCACAGGAAGTGATGACAAACGTGTTCCCGTCGCTCTTATTTCAAACGGTTTACAAGCTGTGATGTGTGTTCCCGCTGCAGAGCAGCCATGACACGTGGCAGCCGGCAGAAGGCTCATGCTTTTCCACTAACCACCCACAGAGCTGCGTCTGCGGTGAACTGAGCAGGGTTTGTTTTACGGTGGCGGATCCGATTGGACCATCGCTGCGAGAAAGCTCCACTTGTGTCAGACGAGCTGAAGGTTCTGATGTTCTGCTCCACAGGCTCTCCTGAAGAAGCACGAGGCCCTGATGTCGGACCTGTCGGCTTACGGCAGCAGCATCCAGGCCCTGAAGGAGCAGGCCCAGTCCTGCAGGGTGAGTTCAGAACCCTCGGCCCGTCAGAACATTCTTATCCACCACGTTCTAACACCAGACCTGTTATCCCGACAGCAACAAGGTAATCAGCAGGTGCTTTTGTCCTGCAGGACCTGAAGGCCAACGTGTCCTGCCTGAGGGACATCAACAAGGTGGCATCTGAACTGGAGTCAGAAGGTCTGATGGCTGAGGAGGCTCCTATGGTTCAGGCTCAGGTGAGCGTCACCTGTCTGCAGCAGCTGGTCCCTCTCACTTCCTGGTTTAACTCTGCTCGTCTCTGTTTGTAGCAATAAGAACATCTGGGTTCTGCTCCTGGAAAGGTGCATGTTGTCCTCCGCCTCCACCAGAACCAGACGTGGTGTTTTTGTTACCACTCGTTTGTTTGTTTGTTTGTTTGTTTACAGGATGAAGCCGACTCTAACACGGCATCACCCTGGAAGGTGAGTTCATTCAGCTGATCAGAGGTCACCTCTGATGGCCGCAGTCACGGCCGACCGTGCTGACATCACACAGGAATTCAGGTGACCCGGCAGGCACCAGGTGCTGGTGAAAGTGGGGACATGTCAGCTGGTTGCCATGGCTACAGTTATCTTTGTGCATCTGTATGACTGCTGACTGGTGTGTGTTTCCTGTGACCTTTGACCTCAGACCGTACGGTTGGGCGTTCAGACGACGGCTAACTTTAATTCCATCAAGGTAAGAGGAAGCTCTTCCCTTCCTGTCTGAGCGATCCGTCTCCAGGTTTCCTCGTCCGGCGTCCAGCCCGCTGGTGTCCACCTTCATCTCACCTTCATCTCATCTCACTTCATTTATAGTGCAATACTTTAAAATTATCATTTTCCCACACTTCTGTATACCTGTATTTTGTTGTTTTTCAATAAAGAATGACAAAGTATTTAAGTTTGGTTTTTGTTGCACACAAATATATATCTGTAAAAAATATCTACAAAGCTAATGTTTACATAACAAGTATGATTGGGTTTTGCAATACGGCACTCAAGTTTATTTTAGTAAGATTTTCAAACCAAGTAAAGTTAGTAAAGAACACATTTCTATTGTCTGCTAAGAAACTGTTGGGATTTAAAATGGGCCTGTTGTACAAATAACTTGTAAATGATTATTCCTCACTTTTGTCTTAACCAAAGAAATTCCAGTAATTGAGCAAAAACATTTATTTTTAACACTACATTTTATAAAACAGGGCGCAAAGTGTCGGCACATGTATGTATGTCGATGGTCCGCCCCAACCAAACCAGGAGACACAGATGTCAGGGAGGCCAAGGTTGTGTCCGACGGTCTCTGCAGCTCTCTGGGCGCCACACCTCACGTAGCTGTCACCAATGATCCAAATGGCTATGGAGGAAAAAATAACAGGTTTGGCCTAGCTGTTTAAAGTACAAAACCATTCATGAAGTGGTCAAGACAAGTACTTGGTACTTACACTTGCTGCTTTGTGTAGCTGACGTTGACACAAAGGCTGCCATGGTGACCTTTTAACAGATCTAAGAAAAAAATGTAATAAAAGAATGAAACTTAAAAACTCCCAGACCTCATGTCATATTTACTATTCAGCTATGGCTGATTTGTTTGGATCACAGTGAGTTACACTAATTCTAATATATTTTTATTTCTATTATACATACATACTTTTTAACTGTTATTTTCACATGACTGTTATCAGGCTCTCTTGTTCTGGTTCTGATGATAACTCCGTGTCTTCCAGTAAGTTATCTTGTGCTTACTTCATCTGTATAATGTCTCTTTACTTTTGGTAAATTGTACTGAGTCCAGAATAAAGGCTAGTTGGCTGTACAAGATACAAACAAGTATTACGTTTTGGAAATATATGAAACACCGCCAGCATCTGTTAGAGCCTGTGGCGGGGTGCTGAGGGCTGGCTCCAGCCCAGGAATGAGCTCTCCACTCCGGCCAGGAGGGTTTGAAACACTGCTATCCCCTCCTCTGCTGGCTGTTCATTCTGTTATGGTTACCGGTGCTTGTGTTGCAATGTGAAACGCTTGGTCTCAGATTTTGTAAGAAAGATAATAAAATGTCCCCCCAAAATACGACTTAAATATATTTTCTCTTCTTCATGATACATTTAAGGGCTGGTGCGACTCAGGAGTGATAGCGCCGAAAAAAACTGTACTGAAAACTTGCTCAAAGCAAAATGTTTTCATTACGGAAATCAATTATAAACTTACCGATTTAAAACTTTTTTAATACAGGTACTTCTCACGAACAGGCGCAGAAAACCTCCACCTAAACTCCGTGTGAGGGTCAGGTCGTTGGGTGTTCCAGTTAGCTCCGGTTGAATTGAAGCTAGGTGGCTACATCCGTTAGCTCGGCTCCCACCTCCGCTTTAGCTTTGGGTTAGCCAGGGTTAGCTTCAGGTTAGCTCGTAGCTAGTTCGTCACTCGATCCCAGCCTTAGAGCCCCACCCTCAGCGCCTCCTCTCTTCCCTTTTATGGAATTGTCTGGGCTGGACGGAACCTGTGACACGGTCAAAATGGCGGTGGTGGCCACCTCCCATTATGGACAAAAAACGTGTTATTGGAGCCTATGGAATCCGTTTGTCCAGTATGTACAGTCTATGCTCACGCCACACATGGGATCGGCTCGTTCGCCATGATGGACGGCAAAATAATAAAGTATCTTTGAATTGAATTGAAAAAGACCGTTTACACACGTTGAAACTCCGGTGAAGCTAGTCAAAACAAGCCTGTCTGTAGCCTTCGCTTTTATTTAGTTGATTTCACAGTAAAATGGTAACTACTTGCTGGGTGGCTGGCACAAGGATATGTAAAACTCGTTTTTTTCAAATAACTTTGATCGAGACTGAGGACGGAGAACTGCAGCGATCAATCATAATGGTGGCAGGATTCTTCAGGAAAGCGCAACGCCCTCTGTTGTCCATGGCGGGGAATTGCTTTGCAACTCTTCTTAGCTTACGAAGTCCGAAGGGAAAATGTCGCTATCAAAGCGGAAAACAAAGTGGCACTCCTGGGTTGGATGATTTGTAAACGTGCTCGCCACTAGAGTGTACACCACCTGGGTCTTCAAGCTTTTCTTCAATGTTTTTAGGATTAGCTTTATGAAAAATTCTGGGAATAAACCTAAACGCATTCTCCACGATTGCTAAAGCATGTAAAGGCGGGAGTCAAACTAGTATTTCGGGGAAAAAACTGCTACGTTAAGTTAGCTCGTCCCATCACTACAAAGCACATTTTCTATTACTGCTAGCACACAGCAAAGTATTCCCTGGGTTTCTTGCTAAACAGCTTCAGTTAAAGACCGCTTCCATGGCATTTATTTACTGCATTTTAAAATTGAGAGTTGTGTATAAATACATATTTTGCGTTGTCTTTAGTTAGCAACGGCAAATTAGTTCCTCCTAAACTAAAAGCCAGGCGATAATGATGACAATATGTACCAGTTCTAATGGCCAGTTTATTAAATGTTGTCTTCGAAATTAAAATTCCATCAATATATGCCTTACCTGTAAGCTACGTTGTCTGGAAAATCGCTGTTTCTTCCACTGCTCCGTAAATCAATGGAGGACCGTCCCGCCGAAAACTTTCCTTTGGCCGCCTGCACGCGTCGGCGTCAACAGACGCCCATGACGTAAACACGCACGATATGTGAAATGAGAACCGTGGAGACTCAATCACAAATAAACACCAAGAGAGCTAGTAAGGACAGGAAAAACTCTTCACCAATCCTGCTTAAACAACTGACACCAGTAGGAGTGACTCTATCAACACGGGAAGTGTATTAAATTATTAATATACACTGCAGTGTAAAAAAAATAACTCTACATACTCAAACTCTGGAAAAGTAACACTTTTCAATTTGCTGTGCATGTATCAACCGTACGTACACACAGATCTGTGTGCATATCGTGTGTAGGAACTAATTTACACATTGTGTGGTATTCATCATTTTGTACCTGTGCGTGAAAATGTTCCTAAATCTAAGAAAACTTCAGAGCATGTGTAGGACCAGCATTTAGTGGTAGAACGGGGAAACCTCAACACAGAAGGTCTCACTCATCCAATAATTATTTTACCCAATAAATAATTATTTCAGTGGAGAAAGAGCAGAGTCACATAGCTGGTGCTAAAACACCCGACGGGAATCTGACATTGTAGAATGGTTGTCATGTTTTTTGTAATCACAATTTTTTAGCTTCCCATTTTTATTATGTTCTTAATAATTTTTATTTATTAATATAATTTTTCATTTAATTTTATCACATTATATTTTTGTCCTTGTGAAACGCTTCGTGATTTCACTTGAGATGCATTAGATAAAAGATATTTTTTTCTTATCTTATTATTATTATTATTAAGGAACGTGTTTTCTGGAATAAACGCATTTCCGTGAGCGTGCTGACAGGAGACCCGTACATACATCCTTCTGTGATTTGGGAATCTTTGGGGAGCAAGAGACCAACTGCACAAATCCGATTTCAGTCCATGTTCTACTTTAGAACTACGAGAAACCCCAGAATTTCATCTGCTCCCTGATCGTACACATGTTGCCATGGTAACCATATGGATTGACAGCTCAGAAGAAGCTGCACTCTCGGACAACATTTCCAAATAAAACTAACTCCAACCAGAACAACTCCTTAAATGTAAAATGTAAATGAGTATGTACGATGACCAAATGTTGTAATTTAGGGCACTTCTGTATGTAAATGACTGAGAAAAGACACAAGCACCTGGGTACACACAGGTGGGATTTATCATCAGATGACTGCAGAAAAACATGCGTATGAGAGACCACCGCATGTTTCATCAATCTGAATTATGTCAATGGATTTTGACCGTTTGTACGAGCAATCTAAATTTCGTTCATAGGAAGGAACGTTTGATGAATGAGTGCCCAGGATTTTAGGATTTACTAGCAGACTGCTGTTGTCAGGATCTGGGGTGAGTCAGCACCATTTTGCTAATCATGCCCCAAGTCTCTGTAGGTGGGCGGCTCCGGAGAGCGGCCAGCTGCAGGCTATTTCTAATCTACCGGTCCAGCTTTTATAAGGAGCTGAGAGATCACTTTACCTTGCCGGATGATTACTCACCTTGGGTAGCTCTCGCCAGCTAGAGTTAAAACTAAAGTCTGTCCCTGTTTTTGTGCTCACGTGTTATTGTTGTTTAGACTTATGTAGCATCACCGAAGGTCCTCTAATTTGTGGCAAAGGGCACATCTACCCAGCTGGGTCAAGCTGGGTCAAACAGTACTTTTAAATCCACAGATTAACCAAGGATGCCATGATGTCTGGAAGAATATCATGTCCATATCTGCTGCTGTTCCGTCCCAGGAGAAGGACACTTCAAGTCGATGATAACAGTTAGATAATAATAATTAATAAAACTCATTGATTTTATTACTGTTTATGAAAATCATCATATTTGATCACTTGGTTCAGTATAATGGTATTTTAATTACATGAAATGAATTTATGCTTTGGATAATAATGATTAGTTATGATTATGGTTGATGACAGTAAAAGATGTGTTCGGCAAAGAAGGTCAGTTCACCTTATCCATCTAACAGAGTCCAGATTAACGATAACTGCAACACATGTTTTTGACGCATGATCCAAGCTTTCTTGGGGAGAGAGTGGGAGTGTCCTGAGAGCTTGGTAAAACTAACCATCACCAGCTTCAAGTCAGTTCTTGAACCAACACCACGGAGGAAGGGAACGGCCGTCCTTAAACCTCCACCTGCTGTTTCTGTCACGCCGACAAGAAAAGCTAAGAATAAACGAAACTGTAACCAGCTAACGAAGACTCTACCCAGAGTCATTGATTTCTGAGTTAAGTTAAGACGAGAACACCTGTGTACCCGGCGACATCTCTGGACCAGATGATCAGACACTCGCATCTCCCCTGCCGGACCGAGTGTCATCTTGGATGAACAACATCCTCCTGATCTCCGGATCCACAAGAGGGTCTCCATTTGGGTGAGGTAGAACACGGGAATGCGTTTGATCAATCAATCAATCAAAGCTTTATTTATAAAGCGCCTTCCGCAACCCTGTCAGGAAGCCCAAGTCGCTGAACATGGTACAGTAGAAGGCAAATATATTGAATAAATCAAAACTAAAAGCAATTCAAATTACAAAATACAAATTACAAAAACGGTAAAACACTCTGGTACAGGGCAAATGTGTAAAACAATGGCAGGGCCGGCTTTGGCGACACAGGCGGCCGCTTGGGGCGCCATCTGATGGATAGGGCGCAAAATTTCAACAACAAAAAAAAAGTTTATTACATTTATGTTTGTAATATGAAATGCACTCTCTACATACTCAAAATTCCCCTCTGAAATGACATGAAATTAAAACATCAATATTTAAATTCTAATGATCTGGCTGCATGACGAGCTCCCGCTTGGGCCACCGCTCCAACGCATTTGACCGTTAAGGGTGCTGTAGATCACGTGCGTGGGCAGCACTGTAGAAGGACATCCTGTTGTCGTCGCGTTTAAACTTTTGATATTTTACGATGAAAAGAACATCTAAGCCATCGGGATCAGCATTCCGAAAGCGAAGGAAGGAGGAAGAAAAAAAAACGGGCCCAAAGCAGAGGTATGTAGACTTTATAAATTTGGCAAAGGATCTTTTTGCGTCACCATTGTAGCTAACTGCCTCTCCTGCCACACACGCAGGGGCGTAGCACCAAATTCTGGGCCCTAGGTACAAGTCTTCTAGGTGGGCCCCATGCTCAATTGTGTAATATCTCTCTTACACATTTTATGCCATGCTATAAGACAAGATAATAAATATGATCTCAGTTTAACCTCTATATTGAGCAAATACAAATGCCAGCATAATAAAAGTGAAATGCCCAGACTTCACATATAATTATTTTTATTTGCCAACAATGTGTTCAAACATTAATCCTGGAATTTATTTTCCAGTAAATGCCCACTGACGGGTCTTCATGTTAGCAAAATCCCTTATGAGATCTTTAAAGTCCAATCCTTTGGCTAATTGGCTTTCAATAGAAAGAAGAGCTAGGCTGTTCAGTCTATCCTGGGACATTGTTGATCTCAAATAATTTTTCACCAGTTTCAGTTTGCTAAAAGCCCGTTCACCCCCAGCAACAGTCACAGGTAGTGTGCAAAAAATCCTCAGTCCAATACAAACTTCTCCAAAAATGCTCTGTAATTGCATCCTGTAGATGGAATTAAGCAGCTCAAGAGGAGACATGGGATGCAGTACAGAGCCTTTGCACTTTCACTGTAAATAAGCCAGTCTCTTCTTATCTTCTCATGCCCATTGGCTGACTTAGCATATTGAAGATAATTTGGAAATGGCTTGCCCTCCATATCTTTGGGTGTTATTTTGTCGATTCCTGGTGTTTGATCACTTTTATTCGCCAGTCTTCTGACAACTGTATCTCTCTGTTGACCAGTGAGCTTCTCTGGCCATAGTCCTGGATCCTCTGGCAGACACTCATCTGTGTTGCTCAGCCTCTCACTTTCTTCTTCTTCTGGCCTCTCCTCATCATCCTCACTACCTTCAGAGCAACCATCCCCTTCCCTATCTTCACTTACATCATCCTCTTTCACATATTCTATCTCTTTCTCTGCTGCAAGGGGGACAGACACCACACAAGCAAAATGGATCATGAATTAGGTCAGCAAAATATAACCTAACATGTCCTTTCAGATAAATCTGTTGCTAATGATTGCTTGTAAATTGAATAACTTAATTGTATCGTGAGCTCAGGGGCGGATTTAGGACTGAAGAAGATCCGGGGCTTAACACACAAACACGCGCGCACACACACGTGACACGCACTAGTCAACATCATATATATTTGTCTTGTACCACATAATTTTTTAATCTAAAGCTACATATTAAGCATATTCAGGGCAGAATATTGTTCCTGTTAGTGTTTAGTGTGAGATGAAAGTAAATATTCACTTTCCAGCAACTTTACCTGAGAAGCTAACTTTAGGCAAACCAGCAACACAACAAATATTTTCAAATAAGACTCACAAACCTGAGTCAACACCAGTCTCATCAAAGCTGGGGTTCTGTCATTGTACTTTTTGTCTAAAAAAAGTCCTTATGTCCATCTTCACTCATGCATTTCAGGCAGAGACTGCAGAAGAAGCTGGCTGCTGAAGGGCTTCTTCTTCAGTGGTGGAGGCTCAGGCAGGCTGTATACAAACTACTGCCAGCTGCTCCCTCTCTGTTGGACTTTGTTACTGCATGTTACTTCCACGTTTCAGATCCGGGGCTTTTCATAAAACATCCGGGGCTTCAGCCCAAGTAGCTGGGCCTAACGCCGCCCCTGAGTGAGCTCACCTTGTCTCATCTCCTCAGTGCTTTCTGGAGACAATGAGGGCCCTGCTGCTGCTGCTACTGCGTCTAAAGGGCCATGTGGTTCATGATGTTAAGCTTTGC